TGAATGTAGTAACGAGCGTGTTGCAATGAAGTAGTAGCAGCAATAGAGATGGAATGGTTAAAATGGCCGGTTTCATGTTAAACATTCTTGTTTAAAAATTATGACTGTTATAATTTTCTGAATAATTTTTTTGAAAAATTTTTGTCGGAAATATTTTTTTTTCTTCAACGATAGAAGATCAACACCTGATCTGTTCTTTAGTAGACAATGGTTTGTATGATTTTTTGGTTGGTGTGTTTTTCCGTCTGTATGTTTGTTTGTATGTTTGTTTGTTCGTACGTATGTTTGTTCGTTTGTTAGTTATCAATTTTTCATTATTTTACATTTTTCAGATATTTAACATTTAAATTAAATTAACTAATCGCTATATAAAAATATAATGTTATTGTTTTGTTACCCACAATCTTTTGCTAAATTATTTCATAACCGCTTCGCTTTTTCTATAAATATATCTATATCTATAAATATCTATAAATAATATTTTTTGGGGCTATTTTGAAACGTTTACTCTGTCAATAACCACATAAACGTCGTACTCTTCTGACTCTGAATATATTTTTTAAAGTTTTAAAGATTTTAAAGTAAATCAGGTAACAATAGGACTATTACGAGAGTATATGTAAGTACTTTGTGTAATTTATTCAATTTGGTACTTTGGTAGACGGAATTGAAGTACAAATTAAATACCTTTAATTCTTCTGGCAGATTTTTCTTCTGGTTTGAAGCCTGCTGAAAAGAAGTTACGTGAATGAATTTTAATGTTTAAAAAGATTTCATTAAAGTATTGCCAAAATATATCAAAAATATTTTTTAAATTGTTATTATCATTTTAATAATTCTTATAATTTTATTTTCTTCAAACATAGCCCCTTATAGGATGTTAGAGAGTGAAACAAAATCAATGTTACACGACATCTCAATCTAATTTTTTTCTACACAACTTCAAACAAGTCACCCTCACGTGTGCCTACACTCAAACATACACACACATTCTACCTCAATCATCTTCTTAGATACAATATGAAATCAGTTTTTTTTTATAGATTAAAATTTAAAATTTCATTAATTTAATATTTTAGAATTCAATTTATAGAAAAAAAAAATCAAAAAAATCATATCTATAAATTTTTGTCTTATTCAACTAACTCTAAAATCCAAAATAAGTGTTTTCAAACTAATAATACATCAACACGAAATGAGTGCAGCAAAAGTTTTAAATTTATAGACGTCCAAAGGCAAAAAACGCACGCGCCACACAAGAAACAAAACCACACCACAGCGTCCGCCCATGCAGCAGCTTCAACACCCACGCGCGCGTACGTTCTATTCGTCATTCCTTCCTTAGAACAAAACCATTTAATTTGGGGATTTAATCTTCAAGGGTTTTTATTATTTGTTAATTATTTTCACTAAATAATTCGGGTTAATATTTATAATAAATTTGTATTATAAAATTAACCGAATATTTTACGGCATGGCATATTGTTGCGGTTGAAAAGGTAGGCAGTTAGTTAGCACAATTACATGATCTAGTATCAAAGATATTATCATCAGTTAGTAGGCACAAATAAATGATATAATATCAAAGATATTATCATTATCATCAGTTTGTAAGCACAATTGCATGATATAGTATCAAAGATATTTTCATCAGTTAGTAGGCACAAATACATGATATAATATCAAAGATATTTTCATTATCATCAGTTAGTTAGCACAATGATATAGTATCAAAAATATCATCAGTATAATAACTAACAACTAAACGTTATTAATTTTACAACAAAAATAATTATATCATTTACAACACTATACTTAGAACACAAAAGCGGGTATCGTCAATTTTAATTAGTAAGCATATATAATAATATATAAGAAGAATAACATTAATGATATTTATTAAAATTATTATTATTATTGTTGTTGTTTTTGTTATTATTATTAATTTCTGCAAGCCAGTCAGTCACCTGAAAATCCCTTCTAGCGTGCTTTGTCAGTTTGTTATACTACATTTTAATGTTCATATTTATATAATAATCATCTCTGGTTTCTTTCATCTATACACTTCTCATTAACGCTAACATTGATTTCTCTCTATCTCTCTCTCTCTCTCTTTCTCTCTCTCACTCTCTTTCTCTCTATCTTTCTCTACAGTGTGTGTGTGTGCTGTTTGTGGTATATCTGTGTGTGCCTATGAGTGTGTAAAAGTATATGTGTTATACCTATGTTTATTCAGATATTTGTGACCTAACAATTAATATCTATTTAGCTACAACATATTAGCTATTTATATGTTACAGAATTTTACACACACACACACACACACACACACACACACACACACACACACACACACACACACACACACTTTGAGTGTTCGTAACAGGTTAATGCCACTTATTTATACGTACCGTTGGCAGATAAAACTTGTTGTATGTTCATTCAATTGTCTTTTTAATTAAAAGAACTCTTTCTTATTAACTTCCAGAACTAGTTTTGTGTTTATTGATCGATATTTTTTGTTTTAATTTGAAAAAAATTATCTCATTCTCAAAAATTTGATACTCTTTTAACGTTTTTAATTCATTTTTTACCTGTTTTTTATATAGTAATTAATTATCATTAATATGATCGTTGTTATTTATGTTATTATTATTATTATTGTTGTTGCTACTGCTGTTGTGACTGTTGTTGTGGCTGTTGTTGTGGTTGTTGTTGTGTTTGTAGCTGTTGGGATTGTTGTAGCTGTTGTGATTGTTATTATTATTATTATTATTATTATTCCTGATTATTTTTTTTTATTCTTCGACCTGCCAACGAGTGACGTCATTTTGAGTGCGCGTTTAAAATTTACGTCGAAATAAACATAAAGTGAAGACATGTATGTCGCCGTAAAGATAAAGTTTGGTAGAGGAAAGAAAAAGAGAGTTGTGATTTGGAAATTTTTTTATCGTTTCGTAACACTTACTACGAGGGTATATGCGAGATTTCGGAAATCATTTTATTTTGTTTTTTTTTGTTTTAATTAGAAAATATTTTTGTGCTTAAGTGTTGTTTTGTTTGCCCACAACATCGTCTTCCTTCCGACGCAAATTTCCAGTTCATTGATTGTGTAAATTTTAACAACACCATCCCGAACTGAAATTAAAACGTTTCATTCATTTCTAAGATGTTTCAATTATTCCATCTAACCAAAATAAATACATACTATTAATTAAACAAAACTTACATACAAAAATTGTAATCACTAATTAATATACACTTTATCATGAAAATAATTTCAAATATTTAAAATATGAAAATCCGATAATCCCAGATGGAAAGATATGGATAGCGTTCAGTTGAATGGAGTGAATGCTTTATTGCTTAATTTGCCATAACCGCCTATGTAAATGACGCTATTGAACCAAAATTAAATTTCAAAATTGAATAGCCACTCTACGCTAAGAATACGGATGATTCATTCTTCAGCGGTTATTATCTGCAATATAATTCTTTTCATTTTAATGTATTTGCTTACCTATAGCTATCAACGTACAGATCGCGAGTAAAAAATTGCTTGTAAAAATATTCAACTAAAATATTTATTTACATTATTGACATTAATGAACGCATTTTACTTTCAAAACAAAATTATATTGCCTTTAATCGCTAAAAAAATGTCGCCTATTGCAAAAAAAGTTTGGTTATGCGGCACTGCAATGTAGGGAGTATAATGACGACCGACATTGACAACAGTAAAGACGGTGAAATCTTGAATCAAATATATTTACAGCATCATACGAATGCTCTCGATCAAGAATTAAAACAAATAAAACACCAAATATAAAGAAAAATATTTCCAAATTTTGTTGGCAAAAAATTATGATCAAATAAATAACGCAGCGATGCCCGAGCTAGCTTCCTGGCCAAAGATTTACTGGCACAGGACGACACATTTGTCCTCACAAACAGATGCGCCGTGTCCTGGTTCGACTCCAGAAAAAGATTCTCAACGCGTTAAAGTGTGTTATCATAATTATCATGAAATTATTTACAACATCTAAGCACTCACAAATCTCCGTTCGAACGCAATGGTGGTGTCTGGTGTGAAAGGAACGTGTTGTAAATTAAAGAAGGATGTGTGTTTGCATGGGATGTAATTTCTTGCTTCTATACTCAATAAATTATTTATTTTGAAATTTTAAACACTCGTTCACTTTTAAAGCTTAAATACAACGTCATAGTGCTTAAAAATGAAACTATGTTTAAAACGAATCAACAAAAGTAACGCATCAAAAATTTATTCAAGCTAGTGCAGAAGATGAAAAGGCTTGAGATTGAGATATAAGATTGTTCTGTCGACTCTCGTTTTAAATTTTGATCGTTTTTTTAAATTATGGATAATGTAGATTTGAAATTTTGATGTTAGTTTCATTTAAAATTCTTTATAAGGTTTGTTTGGTTAGGGAATCACAAACAAGAACGCATATGGACATTTTTTCAATCGACTCAACATTTCATCTAGTGAGCAGCAAACGTTTATGATGACTATCAATCAGTAAAATTTAAATAAAAATGAAATTCATGGCTTCATGAACGCTGATTTGAAATAAGTCATAATCACTTGACATGATTTCAAATTAAAATAAAACATTTTAATAAATCAAACAACGTTTTTAGATCATTTAAAGCTAAAACTCGCCCAACACTGGTGACGATTAACTTATCAGCCATGACGCTTGTGTGGTGTAATGACGTAATCATACGAAAAAAAATGAATACACAGGATTTTAGCAATTCGACCTTTAGTTTTTTCAAATAATTTTAAATTTTCAATAAAACCAATCAAAATTTCATTAATCTCATTCACTAGTTCCTTAAGGCGGACATTTTGAGACCAAAAAAAAGGATTAAATCCATCTTCTGTTGTAGGCATAACCATGGATATATATATCCATGGGCATAACTCACAAGCACTCGAGCTGTTTTTTCTATGTTGTCATCTGCGATAAGGGGTGATGGCAAACTTGTTCGTGAAGAGCGACTTCTCAAAATTGGAGACTTTATGTAAATTTTATCAGAATATCTGCAAGAAATTTGCGTCATCAAAAAAATCGGCCGTCGGATATAATTCATATTACGTTCTGTAAGTTTCCGCGCACTTTTTTAGAGGTCTTTTTCTCTTTAAATGTCATATTCTGCATTATCGCTCATTTGCATGCAATGGCCTAAAAAAATATATTTATATTTTTAATAATTTAATGTACGATACTAAATATTTTAATTTAATTTTAAATTCATTTGTTGGATGTGGTTCTAATTAGGGATGCACCGAAGTTCGGCTCCGGCCCCGGCCAAAATCCGGCTTTTTTTTCAAATCCGGCCCCGGCCGGATTTGGTGGCCAGATTTAGGGCCGGATTTAAGCGTCTATCAACTTTTAAAAATGTTAGAAATAGAAAAAAAAATTTTATTGAATTCAATTAATTTTATGTCAGTAAGTTAATGGCTAAAGCTAAGCTAAATGTATACATGACACATAATAACAACATCACTAATTGTGAGGTGATCTGGACAATTTTCTTTATGCTATAACATGGGTTATGCATAAATTATAAGCTGATCTTTGTGTAAAAGAACTTGTGCACGTGTATATACTATATATTGATAATTGCACATGACGGATCATATATCTACATATATATATATATATATATATATATATATTATCTATATATCTATATATATATATATATTTAGAGAGAGAGAGAGAGAGATACATAAGCACATAATTTAAGAACATGGTATGTTAAAGGTTAGGCTAGGTATACATGACATATAATTACAACATCACTAATTGTGCGGTGAGCTGGACAATTTTCTTTGTGCTTTAACTTAGGTTATGCAAATATGCATAAATTATAAGCTGATCTTTGTGTACAGAATTTGGCGTATCACACAACTTATTCATATATTTGAATTAAATAACTATTTGCTTGGTGTTATTTTTTGATGTTCAACATGTAGATAACCGTAAATGTGAGTATTTTTTCTAATGTATGTAAAATGGTAACTAAAATCCGGCCCT